AACCACCAAGAAGGTTTCAAAACTGCTAAAAGTCAGATGCTTCCTGGGAGAAATGAAACATTTATTGAGCAGATGTTAATTTAGTAACAGCAACACACACATTCAAGAAAAAGAAAAGTTTAATTCCTCAAAACAGAATGTGACAAGTTTCCCTTATTAGGTTAGATGCAAATCTACTAAGCACAGACTCCACTTTAATAAATATCAAGATACGCAAAATACTTGAAGATATCCAAATAAGAAACAGTATTTTAAGGCAAGAACCAGTTTCAGGGTCGCCATCTACACACTACCACACACCAGCAGGCCTTCTACAGCTTTAGAACTATTACCACTGAAAAGACACAAAATCTTGTGAAAACTGAAACACCTACAGGCTTTTCCAGTTTCTGTTTTCAGGAACAGGTGCGAACCATCATCTCCTTCATAGCTCTTCTGTTATAGCATCCATCAAACAGCCCTGCTCCTGTTCTCAAATATTGATGAAAATGCGCATGATGCATGTGGGTCGTGCTAAGTTTTGAAGGATGACATATTCTACATCTATGCTTGAAGCCCTGAATTATTTTTGCACATTCCAATATTCCCTGAAGAGATTTTACACAAAGGCCGAAAACAGCTATTTTCCATCATAGTCAAAGTCAATTTACTTTGTAAATGGAATACAGACTGTTGTGTTCTCTTCAATTTTTACAAACAAGGAGTTGTGATGGTGTTATGTGTACAGATATGCTCACAAAATTCAGACTGTAGCTATAAATATACATCATCAGAGGCTCCACATCAGTTCTTAAGTGCTATTACAATGTCTGGCCACAGATCCTTCAAACAATATTTGCAGAATTAGAAATGACAGGAATTTTCATTTTTTAATCTTTTCCAAGGTCCTCTTGTTTAAAAACAACGTATAGAAAATTCTAGAGAAATAATCCCGTAAGACATTTGGAATTATTAGTAGAGATGAGAATATCTAATTTCCACATTTTCAAAGTACATAGACATTGATTTGCTATCAATTTTAAATTGCTTAGTTCATTCAATATACTATCCATGTTCTTCTGATGATTAACACCATATTGTGTTTTAGTTTAACTTTTTTGTACCACCTTTTAGACTTAAGTTTATATAACTTAATTTTTAAAACTTAGTTTCATATGCAATGAATTAAGAAACAACACCAGAACAGTTAGCCAGACTTTAATAGGCGAGAAAGGTTGCTTTGGCAATGTATAAAATGGCAACTATTGTATACAAATCATTATTCGGTCGACTTTTATTAAATATTAAAATGCAATAAGGCAACTGTGTTTAAGACACTTGAAATCACGTTTCATATGCCCAGCATCTGGCATATGCCGCCGCCACTACTTTTCTTCTCTAGTAACTCTAAGCGAACAAAAAAGTTAATTAAAAAGATATAGATCAGTGGTCTTCTGAAAACACCTCCAAGAGGTTCTCATTATGACTAAGGTATTTATTACTTACAATATAAACTTCTGAAAGAGAATACTATCTTTTGAGGCTTCTCCCTTATTATAAAGTATTTAATGGTTCAACTGAAAGTGAGCCTGTTGAGCAATCATAGGTGTCATTTATTGCTTCAGCTGACACTAAAGATGGTGGGACCCCAAACCTGGCTGTCATACCACCTGGGAAAATATCTGGATGCCCCCACTTTGGATTTCATTAAGCCTTCCCTCCCCCCAGCCTCTCTTGTGTTCTATGTAGTTAGTCCTGCTTAAGCCCAAATTGGAGATAACTAAAAAAGCCATTAAAGGGGAAAATACTGGTTCTTGGTTTTCCACAGGTCTTAGATCACAAACTGAGAACCAGTGGGGGAAAAAGACAACGTTGACTCATTAGCACTAAATCATCAGTGAGGAGAGTGACGGGAAATGACTCCTATGGATACAATAAACAAACATCACCTTGCTGCCCCTCCCGGAAAGCCAACTTGGATGAGCACCTCGTGGCATCGACAGTGGCAAGGGGTGGAGGCTACAATTCAGAAGAGACTGTTTCCGAATGTCTCTCTACCTTCTCCATTCTTCCACTTACAACCCATTTTTCCTTCTTGCTTCACCTTTTGCCATTCTCATTCACTTTTCCCTTCTTTCCTCACTTCCTCTTTCCTTCTTTTTTTTTTTTTTTTGACCATTCATTTACATCAGTCCTGTCTTCTCTGCTATCTCTTCCTTGCATAAAATAAGCAAATATAACACATGCTAGGAGACATTCGGCCTAAGGACACAGAAGGATCTACGCAAGAGCTGACCGGGCAACACGGAGCTTCAATGGGAACACGAGGGCTTCTAAAGCCGTCCTCTCTTCTGGGTCTCACCTTCCTGGGAGGCCGCAAGGACCTGATTGTTTATAAACCTAAGGCACAAAGAAGGTTTGGTGATAAGCCCAGTCCCTAACCAAGAAGAGAATCCAGATCTAATTCAGAATCTGAATTTTCTTCCATCACCACTAACATCTGACAGGAGGCAAAGCAGATAAAAATTAGTAATAACATTGTTTTGGGCACTAATAGGCCCACAGAGGACTGGGTTATCTCATACATTGTGTACTAGTCTTCTTAGGGGGTAGGGGAAGCAGGTAAATGACAATATGTGTTTTTAAAAAGTTTTCTAAGTTGTTTTAAAATGGCTGCTTCATACAAATGAAGTCTAATTGCATTTTAAACTCATTCCACTTTGGTAATACTGTAGCCCAGAGATAGTTCTGAGGTCAGAATTGTTCTAACACATATTCTCAAAGAATATATAATATGTAATTCCAAACTGCATAGATATACTGTTTTAAGAAAAGAACATTCACACTGGAAAATATATACATTCTCTACATTGTCCATCTAATTGCCCATCTAATCTCATTAGACTGAGAACCATATTTCTTGAGCGTTCTCAAGGAATAAGTTACCTAAAAGATAAATTTTAAAAACTCATTTTAATGTTGTAATGGACATTCTGTAGTATTCTAAAGTTTAGGTAAAAAAAATAGTCCCTAAGTGAAGAGTTATCATCATACCCAAAATATGGTAAGATGTCCAATTAGGTCAGGTCTAGGAAGTCAAGTCAGGTGAAAAACCTTCCGACTGACCCACAAGGGAGAGTCTCACAGTGTAAATAAGCCACAACGCACGTGAGAACACACCAGAGAGTCCAGTTGAATTAAACCATGACTACCCTCAACATAGTTCCAATTATATGAGGGTCAGTGGGACTCAGATTTTCTGATCTCTGAGGATATTCAACCTAAGGCATTTACTAATAATGTAAATCCCTATCTTGTCAATAACCCCAAGTGTATTCTCTAGTACAATATTTCAGAATCACGTTTACAACCCATCAGCTGTGCCAAGCATAGTGGTAAATCCTAAGTCCAACCCCACATTGGCAAAATAATTTCCAGTGGTTCCCAAACTGACATGGAAATCATCTGAAGTGTTCATTAAAGACAGAATCCTGTTTTGACTTATTTTTGCATCCTGATTCTCACTCTGGAGACAGTCAGGGTTTGTTTACAGGCTGGACTCCAGGAAGCCAAAGGAGCTGCAGTGTCATCGTAGTTACCAAAGGGCTCACAGCGGTGAAATAACATGTCTTGGATTCTTTAAAAATTTCAGCAAAGAAAAAAAGATCTATGACAAAATACGGTAAGATGTTGAAGAGTGTTTGATCTGGACAATGGATGGGTATCACTGTAGTATTCATTCAACTTTTGTATAATTTTTCAATCCTTTCATTTAACAAGGCTTGCTCGCTCCATCCTCAACACAGTATTCTGGAGTCTTCAAAGGGTGAAGCCCAGGAATCTATTTCCTATAAGCCCCCTCAGATAAAAAGTCTCATCTAGCTAGGCAGGCAACAGTCTCGTTTAGGGGCCACTAGAACTAAACTCTGCTGCCCTCCAAACTCCAAGTTTCTAGGATTCTCATTTCTACTCAGCAAACTTAGCTTCAGCACAGCTCACGAGCGTGTATATTCACTGGTCATTCTGCAGGAGGTATGAGCTCATGGTCTCTGAACATGCCTGAGCGCTTCAGGCTGGCTACTGACTTCTCATTTGCCTCACACCTTCCTATGTGTCCCTGACTGGACTGCAGAAGACAGCAGACAGCTCTTTCTGCAGAGTCCACACCCCCACGGAGGGCACTGTGTCCTCATGACACCAATCACTATTTTCATAGGCAGTATTTGTTCTCTGTGATTTTCTCATATCTATTTAGCATTAAAGTATCAAAAAGGGAACAGAAAGGAAGATGATCATATACCACTTAGGAAAATGAGACCTACACCCCAGCATAGTACATGCTAAGTACTCAAAAATCTATGACACAACAGTCCAGAACACTAAGGGAAGTAATGTATTTCTTGTTTTCAAGATAAAAAAAAAAAAAATTAACTGTCTTAAGTAATGTCCAAATAAGAAAGATACGCACATTAATCCAACCAAAATTGCTTTTCTAGAGTCAGATGTAACAATCTTCTTAATCCAAATCATCCATGAAAGGTGTCTAACTTAAAGACTCTAAGAAGTATCTGCTTCTTCTAAAATGTTTTGTAAACCCACTTTGAGGTAGAAGAAAAAAAGTTTAAATGGACCATTTTTTCTGCTCCATTGTAACTAAGATCACTGTTCACAGAAGTATGCAGCTTATGCATTTTGGTCCATCCCCTCTCTGCCATCGTAAGCATACTATTCAGATCCTCATTTTATTATCAGCATAGTAGTTTTTGTTTCCAGAATGCCCAGTAAAGCTGAAAGTCTTCATTTACAGTCCCACAAATTGGAAAATAAAAAATTTCCCAAAACACCTGTTGAACAATCTTCAATTTTCATTTTGGCAAGACATTTTAGAATACACAAAAAGAAAATACTACATTTCATAAACACAGAGAAACAAAAACTTCACTGCATTCCCTTTCTTATATAGCTCAATTTAAATGTGCAGCTTACTTAGAATCTAGAAATTATCTTAAACATGATTGTCACAAAAAAATATCTTAAAACAGAGATGAAATGCATAAAGGCACAAAGATTGTCAATATCTACAGCGGTCACATCACATTTCTTTAGAAAGAGAACCTTTTCTGCTCCTGTAAACAACTGGCTTCTCACACTTTTAAAGTGAGGTTAGTGCTGACATAAAATTATTGCTCTACTCACAGCTTGAGTGTTTCCACCATGCATGAGGTACATCTTTCCATACACCTGGACTGTTCTTGTTCACTGGAGAATAAGAATGAACCCAAGTGTGTAGGCCACAACCACTCAAGGTTTTCATCAATATTGGAATGACAGCAAAATATTAAAATGACATTACAAAACATCATAGATCAAAAACGTCTTTGAATGGGGCTTTATCTTGTTCTTCATTATATAAATATATTCCTTATTTAACTTCTTCAGGTGAAAAAATTATTCTGAAGATGAATAAATTCCTTCCCCAACATTTCAACCAAGACTACTCCTTCACACACATCCTATGATATCTTGTTTTAATTCACTTGATTTTAGCAGTCACCAAGAATCACCTTTCCTTTGGTGGTCGATCATAACGATCTCTTATGCTTTTTGTTAGCTGTTTGATAAATATTTTGTAAATTTTTCCACAGTATGTATGTACTGTCTTTTGTAGTTCCAGTTCTAATAGGTTTAATAAGGAACGGATGCTGTCATCTTCAAAAGAACACTAGAGAAAGAAAAAAAACAAATATGTAAGATATATATATATCATATATAATACATATATATAAATTTACTTGTAATCCAAACAACTTCATTTAACATTGACAACCGCCATTAAAAGTCTCACAAAAAGTCTGCTCAACAAGTATTTTCAAGGAATGAAACTATGATCTCACATTAAAAGAAGGAGAAAGTCATGGCCAATCTCTCTGGGTGATCAGGGATAGCTCTGCAGAGAAGTAATGAAGACAGGGGATGCCAAGCTGCGGCAAGAACATGTTTGAGAGCAGAGAAGACCCAGAGATACCAGAGCAAGAAGACACCCAGAAGCTGGTTGACGTGCAGAAGAAAGATGAGGCAGATGACCCAGTGAATGGACAGCTCCCGTGGAAGCCACAGGAGCAGAAACAAGGCAGGCTGGCACAATGCCTTGGAACGCACGCCAGTACTGTCCAGAACTCAAGTCTCAGTGAACCTAGAACATCTGTCACCCTCTGAGCGCCAGGACCACCCTGGAGAGACCCAGGCGGCTCGCACCAAAGCCAGTCCCTTTTGGTCCTTTGCCCTGGACCTGTGACATTCTGGACTAGTTCTGTTCTCAGCTGGCTGAACATAACACTGGTAAAATATATCATCCCTTCTGCTACCTAAGCGGGAGGAAAAAAAAATTCAAATAAAACGAAATGAAATAACTAAGGTGAGAGATCATTTCCCCATGACTACAGAGCAAGTAAGTGGGCCAGGCAGGATTCCGCCCCAGCTCCAAGCACTCAACCAGCACTCAGCACTGTTCATCCAAATAAACAAAAACACTGTACCACATCAGTGGCAAAAACCTTGCTGAAAGATGAAGCTCATTTTACAATGGGGAGTTTCAACAAATGTTATTATATTTATATGTAGATCTGTTTGGAGTTAATAATGGCCACCAGTTGAAGCAGGAAACCTTCATCAAGGTTTTTCACCTTTATCATGATACTGTCAAGAATCACTTCAACATGTACAAGAAACATACAAGAAATCCTCATTTAACTTCATTGGCAGATTCTTGGAAACTACAGCCTGAGCAGAAGGCAGAAGGGGTTTCTTTTTTCCTCATCAACATTATAATGAAACGATACTGAACTAAAAGACTCCATTCAAGGAACCCCTGAACCTAGACACCTGCGGTGGGGAGGCAGCTAAAGTGACAGAAGGCTACACCGTGATCTTTCCCTCACACCAGCATGACAGTAAAATGAAAACAGCAAAGGCGCTTAAAAGTTAATTCAGATACAAATAAAGTACTTGAGATTCAGTTCATTCATTTTGGTATAAATCCAAGTGTTTGCAGTTGACAGCTTTTGATGAGTATTCTCCTGAAATAGGAAGAGTGCCTCAAGAATTAGTGCTTGTTTAGTCACCATAAAACACCAGTGATTTGACCACTGTGGATGTTGATAAACTACCAACACTTCAACCTTCATGAAGACAGCCTGCAGTTTACGTGTCCTATATCGCATCCTCTGCCAGGCCCAAAGTGTGCACACCTGACCCACCTAGAGGTCATGTGACCTGCACCCAGAGGTCCCGTGCAAGCCTCTGTCTTTGCTATCTCATGCTGCGGTGACTCACCTTCACCTTCCACTTCCCTCCTCCAAGCACCATTTCCACAGTTCAGCAGTAGAGGAAGACTTCCCAAGACACAAATTTTTAGGAAGGTCATGCTTTATATACAAGACCATCAACTGAAATGCTATTGTAACCACAATCTGCCAATGCAAGGCATTTTCAAAAAACAGAACATGTTTTCAAAATATGGCAGCTCAATCCAACAAATGCTATGTGCCAACAGCCGTAGGAAGTAGTGGAAAGGGAAACATTCAAGACCCCCTGGCAGAAGTAGTTATGCAAATATGAGCAGGGTATGAAGTAAATCAAGTTAATACAGAAACACCAAGAAATACAATAATTCAGAATGAAATACTTGAAGCAGCAAATACCATATAGAGCAATAAAATGTTTTGTTCTCATTTTGAATTTATAATTTTTAAACTTACTATTTTTTACTTACTCAAGAACTAATATTTAGTAACAAGCATGTACAGACTGTAAAAAAGGATCTGCTGGCTGGCACAGCTATGCATTTTATTTAAAAATGGTTCACATGCTTTATAGTTCATATTGTCCACTGTATTCAATGGCTAAAACTAAGTTTCTGTCTGAAACTTGCATAAATGTCTTTGTCTGAATGCACTCCTTTAAAAAATCACACTTCTCATTAAATTATAGATAAGGGCAGATAAAAATACTAACCAAAAGCACCATAAAATCTGATAAACTTCATTAAGTTGAAAAATGGATAGAGACAAGCTATAAAGATCCAAAACAGGGCCTCCCTGGTGGCGCAAGGGGTTAAGACACAAACGATGATGCTATCCGCAGCCACTGCAGCACAAGTTCGAACCCCAGCCAGGGAGCTACCCATGTGGCAAAGCAGACCTCTCCTGACTCACCCGTTGCTCCCCTCAGCAGCGTATTTCAGTAGGTCCACCTGTTCTGTTCCCCACTCTGTCTCTGGTAAATTCTCTCACCCCCCACACCTCTGGCCCGTACCCCAGTTCTTGTATGTATAAATAAAGAAATCTTTAAGGGCCTCCCCTGGTGGCGCGGAGGCTGAGCACTGGACTGCGAGGCTGCCCACAGCCTCTACAGCACCGGTTTGTTCCCCGGCCGCCAGCTAGGGTCCCACCAAAAAAAAAAAAAAAAAAATCTTTAAAAAAAAAAAAAAAGAGCGCGCCTCCCCAGTGGCACAGCGGTTGAGCACTGCACTGTGAAGCTGTCTGCAGCCTCTGCAGCACCAGTTCGATTCCCTGCCGGTCAGGGAGAACCCACATGGCGCAGCGGACCTCTCCTGCTTCACCAGCTGCTCCCCTCAGCAGTGTCTTTGGTCCATGTGCCTGTTCTGCTCCCCCCTCTGGTTCTGGTGAATTCTCTCACCCTCCCGTGCTTCTGACCTATACCCCAGTTCTTGTATAAAATAAATAAATAAATCTTAAAAAAAATAAAAAGATCCAAAACAAACACACACAAAAAAATCATTAATTTAGTGTTTGAAGTCATTTTAAAAATGAGAGATTTATTTTTTTTAAAAATGAAGTGTAATTAATCAACTTAAAATCATTCTTCAGTATTTTTAAAGGTATATACTTATAAACCAAAGAAAAGATAAAACTAGGGAGATTTAACACCTTAATAATGAACTTTTATATTCGAAGGAAACAAAGAAATCGTATTTTTATAGGAATGTGTTTCTTTTCTATGCTGCAGTCTCAGAACCCCAAAAAGCACTTTTCTTCATTTTTATCACTTCCTGACAACACAAGATAAAACATCATTAAAATACACTATTGATTTTTTAAGACATACAAGGTCTGCCACATTAAAATAAATGAACATCAACACTAAATTTCATAATTCTTTAGTGAGTGTAGCTATATCCTGATAAACTGATTATTCAGAAACCCTGTCTGCTAAGTTTACAAGACACGAATCTTAGCAAATTATATACTAAACTGCAGCCTGCAGTGATTACTGTCTAAAACTAAGTCTGAGAAAAACCAATTTCCAGTAGAGAACTTCAATTCCTTATCACAGTGGACGACTACCTAACATGGCACGCCAGCTCTGCGCCCCACACCAGCCCTGTCACCTCCCACCTTTATTCACCATTAGGCCAAGCGGAACAGCTCAACACCCACACATCCTTCATGACTCCTGAGCCTTTTTCTCAGGCAGTTCTTGCCCATTTGGCAAACTTCCTCGTGCTCCCTTCAAATGCCTCCTCATCAATGACCCTCTGACCAGTCAGGCCAAGTGCCTCTCACAGTTCTAGTACAGCCTCTGCCACAGCAGGTTATTGGTATTTTTATCCTATTAATGAGGCTATACTAGGTCAGAGGATTTTAGTTATCAGTGATAAAAATCCAGCAAAGAGGAGCTTCAAACTCTTCTCTGACCACCACATTTTGTTAGCTAAACAAACATGCCTATAATGTACTTTGTTTTGTCTCCACAGCCACATAAGATCAGGCAGAATCTAGCAGAATGAAGCATATTTACATGAAAGTTAGGTGGATACCCCTGTAAATACGTCCCCCAAATCACTGAATTATACACTTCAAATGGGTTAACTTTATGGTATATAAATTATGTCTCAATAAAGTTATTTGTAAAAACCCAATGGGTGAAAGACTTGAAAAAAATTTCACCAGAAAAGAAAAATAAAATGGCTCAGAAACAAATATATCAGTATATAAATATACTCAATCTCACTCATAAAATGAATATGAATTAAAATTACACTAAGATTCCATTTCTCACCTATGAGAATACCAACATTTTAAAAACCAAATACACTCCACTGCTAAGACTGTGGGAACAGGTGTTCTCACAAACTGTTCACAGAAATGCAGACAATTTCCATGGAGGGGAAATCAGCAGCAGAATCTGATATTCCACTATTTTGAATTACAAAAATGTCCAAACATAATAGACTGGTTGAATAAACTCTGGTACACATACAAAAGGGAGTGACTTGCAAGTGTAACACACAAAAAAAAAAAAAATGAGGAAGCTACCTAGATTATTTTAAGTGGGAAAAAAGCAAAGAGAAAAATGAACAAAAGCAGTATTTATCCTCCATGCAAGAAAAAGACAATTACAAAACACACAGAAATCTGCTCATCTTACAAACAGAAACACAGGAAGAACAGACCAGAAATTGGTAACCTCTGGGGTGAAGTTTGAGGTGGAAGGGATGGGGTGGGAGTGAGAATTCAGAATAAACCTTTATATAGTTTTGACTTTTGCAATATATTAACATTCCACATAGCTGAAAAACTAAAATTAAATCAACAGGAACAGAAGGGGTCAAAGGACAAAAACTGAAAGCATACTAACACAAATGATCCCTTGTGTATTTCAAATGAGTAACATAATGTCAGTGAAAAGAGGATGGAAGAACTAATCCCAAGCTTCTGAACAGTGTTGAGAACACACCCTGCATGGGCGCCCTTAGGAGGGGATAAAGGGGCAGGGGAGAAGAGAAGGGAAGACGGGAAATAAATCCTGAACTTTTTTAGTTGGGTGGTTTTTTGCAGGGAGAGGAATGAAGGTGATGGTATAAATGGAACATTTTGGACATTATTTAAATGTCTTGGCCTCCCCTGGTGGCGCAGCTGTTGAGAGCTGGGCTGCGAGGCTGCCCGCAGCCTCTGCAGCGCAGGTTCGTTCCCGGCCACTGGTGAGGGTCCCACAAAAATAAATAAATAAATAAATAAATGTCTTACAGGATTAAGCAAATGAGAAAATGTGCTGATGTTAGGAACAGGATTTAACTAGAAGAAAGGGGAAGAGACTGGTTTAAACAAGAACCAACGATGTATGCTAAATCCAGTAGGGTCATTTTGATGAGAGCAGAGCACTCACATACTTCACAGTCTCCCCATAAAATGCTGACAAGAGGGAAAAAGGTAACTTTACAATAGTGGGGAACTCAAACTACATTCCAACTCAATCAAAATCAGCATCACCAATGAGAGGCAGTTCAGCGTCACGTCACTTATCCACCATTCTGAACAGGAAGCAGATCCTGAACCTAATCATAAGGAATGTTTAAAGGGGGGATTGAAAGGACACTGTTCTCTAAATATGTCCAAGTCACAGAAGACAAAGACCAAGAAACTGTTTTAAACCATAGGTGAGAAAAGACACATGGATGGTAGATTAAAGTGCTGTATCAATATTAAATTTTTGAACTTGTTATCTACACTGTGTTTAAAAAAAGAATTGGTGGGGCCTCCCTGGTGGCGCAGGCGGTTGAGTGCAGCGCTATGAAGCTGTCTGCAGCTTCTGCAGTGTGGGTTTGATCCTGGCCTGCCAGGGAGAATCCCACATGGCACCACAGACCTCTCCTGTCTCACCTGCTGCTCCCCTCAGCAGTGTGTTTCAGTCAGTCTGCCTGTTCTGGTCCCCGCTCTGTCCTGGCGAATCGTCTCACCCTCCCGCACATCTGGCCTGTACCCTGGTTCTTGTATAAATAAATCTTTAAAAGTAAAAAAATGCTTCTGAACGAAAGCTTTAAAAAAAGAATTTGTTCTTTACGCTAAAGATTTTAGGGGTAAAAGAGCACAGTCCATACAATCAACATTCAAATGTTCCAGGAAAAAATTGTGTGCGTGCGTGCGTGCGTGCGTGCGTGCGTGTGTGTGTAGAGAGAGAGAGAAAGGAAAAAAGCAATGATAAAGCATATAGGGTAAATACTAATGATAGAGGAAAGAATAGAAAACCTAAACTTAAAGGAGGCACCACAAGACTAAAACCTGACACACAAGGAAGTGGGGGTAGAGGGGATTAACATGACCATTAACCCAGCTTAGGCGCCAGTGCCTTATTACAAGCATAAGACCTAAGCAGGTATCAGAATACTGTAGGAAGCTTTGAGAGCACAGACCTGAGGGTAAAGATCTAGAGATTGGGCCCATTTTGGAATCTCCCACCCCTTTCTGATTCTGCGTAGTTATCCAAAATCAGCAGCAATCAGTCCACTGCACAAAGCAGTGAGCTCCTCCCAAAGAGAAGACGACGATATCAGTATAGACTCTGTAATAGCACTCTGTAATAGCACAGGGCAGCAGTCCTCCTGTGCACTGGTGCTTGTGCCCACCTCCACAGGGCAGCAGCCTTCCTGCCTGCCCCGTGACCTGTACCATGCTGGACTTCTCTTCTCTGACCTCCCTCAGCAGAGGCTGCTCTCCTCAAGGCTGCTTGTCTGCAACCATGCAGGCCTCTCTCAGCAAACCTGTCCCTTTCAGGGCAGCTCTTTCTGCCCGCTTGTGTCTATACAAGTGTACTTTATTCTTCTGTCCCCTTTTTCTAATAAATCTGCTTTTTTAAATATAACTAACGTCTCTCTTCTGTAGAGACTAAACTCGCCTGAGAAACTCACTGCATGCCGTTGAAAGGGGAGCTCTGGTGAAACTTTCCCCAAGTAAACCCAAGGATCTCACTCTCTAAACCCATCATCTCCAAAAACTACGTCATCAATAACTGATAAACTTGAGTAAATGATGCCAAATTCTTAATTCTTTGTACTGTTCTTTCTTATAACTCTCTCTATAGGCTTGGAAGTACTTATACACATAGACACACAGACAAATGCTTACATTTCTGAGTGCTTCATAAATAGTTCTAAATGCTGGTTGCTTATCATCATGGTAAACACCTCTGTTCCCATGAAGAATAAAGATTCCTTCTTCTTCTGCTTCTTGGCAATTGCTTCCATATATACAATGATCTGGTCGATAATTCCATTGACATGGAAAAACAAAAAGGCTTTCTGCATGAAGAAAGACAAAACAATGAAGCAAATAACCCTAATTTCACAGATTTAACACTTTTCCAAAAGATGTAGTTTAAAAACACAACTCTTACAAGATAAAATTCAAAACAGTGAAACATGTTTGGCATTTAGCTACTGCCCAAATAAATCAATATTTAAAAATGTTTTACTGTCTTAAATATAAATAGTAATAACCACTGATATAAGCTAAAATCAAATACATTTCTTCATTTTTTACTAAATATTACCTATGCCCTACTATAAATTAAATGCAAAGAATAAAATTTAAATGATTACCTGGATTATGAAAAAATATGATGTTCAGCAGATCTTGATCACCCCATGTGATGTTCAACTTGTATTTTTTAAGCAAGGGCATAAGGATGTCCCCCCATCGTAATCGGACAGTCGTCATATCATTCTGTTTGGAAATGCATTCAAAAGACCCTCAGACATCCAGTTTAAAACAGCAGCACCTTGATAGTTCCCATTCCTCCCACAGCAATTATGGCAGGCCAACAAAGAAAAAGGCAAATTTTTCTTGGTATCATACCCCTAAAACCGAGGAAGGATGTCCAGCAGGCGTGGAAAAAATAGCAGAAGATCTCCAAAGCTGTACTTAGCAGTGATAAAACTAGTAAGTCAAGAAAGAAAGGGAAAGTACATGAAAGCTTAAGCACTTTTGCTGTGCCCTCATCGTAAAATGCAGATGGTTTCAGTAACCGAGTCTGAGACTGTGCTATAGAGCTGCTGAGGGCTGTCAACAGAAACCTAAGAGCACCTCAGAAAGCACCTGGCACACAGTACATACTCCGTGTTAACTGTTGTTTCTGGTGCCAGGATCACTATTATTCTTAAACTGATTTGCTAATCTTTTAAATTGGCATTTATTTCAAAGATCATTTGAAATAGATAAATCTAGCCAAAAAAAAAAAAAATACACACATAAAAATAAAGGTAAATAGTAAAAAACAATATGCCGGACAAAAATTACATCGTATAGAGATGAAGTAGAAAAGTATCCATTTTGTGTATATTTATAGTTTACAATTCTCATTGATAACTGGCCTCTTTATAAGCTGTTCTCATCCAAGAACATGTATCACTTTCTATCTTCAAGTTTTCAACTGTCCTCTCATTAGCATATTAAAACTTTCTTCCTATCTATCTTGCCAATTTCCTTCAAGTTTGTTCTTTGGTATAGTACCTATTTTAACACCATTTTAAATGGAGCCTTCTAAAAGGATGTTATTTGTATATTACAAAATTCAAGAGCCTATAAACAGGCATCACAAATGACACACACACAGATTTGTTAGGAAAAGTAACTGGACCCCTTCCAGCAGGACATAAGAGTCTCACAAGTCTCCCCATCCAGCGGCATGGCTAGCAGTCTTGAAGATTACATTCCAGAAAAGCGCTCCATTGTGCCCCTGGAGTCTCTCACGCAACTGAAGTACTTACAGGAGGGACAGACTCATCCGACTCATTTTGAAGACGTTAGGCTTTGCTATCACAGAGTTGGAATTATGCCAGCACAAAAACTATCCTAGGTGTGGGTGTTGATTAACTGAGAGGTCTACACATCATCACAGTTTCAGGAGGTTGTCATATGATGCTCTGCCACAGGAGAACTACTACTGGGTCAGTCAGCAAAAACACTAGTTTGTCTTTCCTTGGAAAAATTGGGATTCCTATACTTTAATTTTCAAATTAGCCATATACTTCATAGTTCATTATAGTTTGTAATTATGTTATTCTGGGTTTTTCAGTTTAGAGAGATGTCAACAGCATGTAGCGATGATCTTATCTTCTAATGTTTCTACCTGTTCTGTCACATGTCTAACACGGGGCTTGTCATTCATCAGGGCTGAGAACCCCTGATGCAGTGTCAAGTGATAGCTGTGAAAATCAAGACCACTTTGGTCTTGACTTTAACTGGAAAGCGTCTCCTGTTTCCCCACTAAGTACAATGCTGCCTTTTGAGCTAAGATAAACATCTTAATGTTCCATTAATTTATATTTTAATCTTTTTTAAAAATCAAATACAGATATTGAATTTCTTCAGGGGCCTTTTCAGCCTCAATGGGGTAGCTCATGGCTCATTATTTAAAAACACAAAGTCAAGTACCCAAAAAAACTAGAGTAGAAAGAGCACTCTGGATGTGAGAATCTGGGGTAGGCAGGGAAGAATGACATTGAAGCCTTTTAGGACTCTTAAAAGCTCTCGCCTAAACTTGTACTCCTCATAGTGCAGTTCACAGAATATCAACCAGAGAATTTTTCACATCTAATAAGATTAAGAACAGAAATTAAGAGTAAGTTTGGAAACGCTTAAGCAATTTAACAGAATAATTGTGTCTATGTAATCTAATGCTTTTCTATTAATTTATTTATATTACTTTTTCAAAAGCAGTGGCTCATGACAGATTAGAAGTTTTTAAAAAAGTAATCCTTCTTCATGGTTCACAAAGCACTGTCATGAACTACTCTATGATACATCACAGACTCAATGGAGGTATAAACAACGTCCTTCAAGAGAGAAAGAGCCAGACTTTCTGAGAAAAAAATGTTTGTACTTAAACTAAGTATGGTCTTCTATAATTATATTACCCTTAGGTGAAGTCTCTCAGAATGCAGTGCAGTAATTAAAAATAATCAAGCCCCTCCCAAAAAAATCTGGAAAAACAACAAGAATAAATTTCACTTAGCAAATTATTTTTTAAAAAACTACTGAAAGGATGGCTCTGAGATAAATCACTGAGCATGTTAACTACATTCCTCATATTCCAAGCAGGAAAATAAGAATTTCCTCATTAAGTGAAGAAAATCAAAGCTTGAAATTTAGGAAAGACCATACAAAAATAAAAGGGAAAAAAAAGAAACTGTTACAATATTGAAGAATGACATTTAAGTAAAAGATTAAGTAAAAAATAATCATAGGTTTGAACTACATCGCTCTATTTTTAATTTTTTTAATCAAATAATGTTATTACTAAATTATCGCTAAGGTTCTTTGCAACACTATTCATAATTCTATGAATCTCAAATGAATTACTGAGAACTTAAATCCTTCCTTAGCAGATAATCTTAGAGCACCATCTTCTGGTATAATATTACTCTGCATACCCAAGTCAATAATCAGAAAAGAAAGAAACTCATGGAATTAGATCTATTTTATTTGGTAAAACTTTATGGTTGATGAATTACATGAGTTCTTAAAACTCAAGATGTATTTACAAATTGCATAATATAAGAAATTAGTTCCCTATTAGGTGACAACACAGGTTACACTGGCTTCATTAATACATTCATTTATGGGAAACAAAACTGAAATGAAATCAAGATCTGAGAAAGTCTCAGAAAATGGAAGTATTAAAAAAAAAAGTTTTTATATTTACAGAGGATATGCATAATCTGTCCTAAGACAAAATATCAACGTAGATGGGTGGTGATGGCTGCAAACAGTACTACCACCTATACCAAAAACATCAAGAACAATCAAGAACACCACCAAATATTAACAGGGGATAACACTAAATAAGGTAAAAATTAAATCAGAGATGTAGAAAATAATAATAAATAAATAATGGTACAAATTCTAATTCATGGGACAAATACAAATGTGGTAAATACATGCACGCAAACTTGTATACTCAGCTCATGAAAGACGTACTGTCCTTTAATGTTTATTTTAGCCATAACTAGATTTAAAAGGATAAACATTAAGGCCATATGGGTACTCATAAGTCACTACTTTGAGTTAACATTTAATTGCCTGTTATGTGCCCTGCTCTGACCTAAGAATTTTAAAAGGACCTCTTTTAAACTGACAACCAGTACACAGGTGGCAAAGCTAAACATAAAATCAAACATTTTGACTCCAGAATCCATAAACTACAGTGAGTTAAAATTCAGCACGTAAGACTCACTGACATGAAACTGGTAAACAGCACAACGTACTCACGTATTCAGAATGGACAGTTAGAGAACTTAAACAATCTAACTTCCACTGACTCCACAAACTCAGAGCTAAGAAACATGCAGGGATTTTTTTTTTTTTTTAGGTTATTTTATTATTTTACACTATCTTCTATGTTAACGATTTTAATTGCACCGAAACAGCCAACACCTTTACTTTGTGTTGGGACTGTCTCAATTCAGAAGGTCCTCACTCAGGCCCTGGAGGCAGGTACTATTATCTATAATCCTCATTTCACAGAAAACTGAAGCCCAGACACTTTCAAACATATACAAGGTCCCAGGACCAAGGTTTGAACCAAGCCACCAGGTCACAGAGTCCCCCAAGATACAGCACACTTCAGAGTCAACCACTCTACAGCTGCACAACCGCAAACCATCACCACCGCTCCGGACAGCAGACTAGGAAGATGCTCCATGCTTAGGGCGCTTTCACCTATGCCCTGCGATGCCTTCTGGTCTGAACTAGCTACTTTCCACTCTAATAAAGAGCTTCATGAGAACACACTTCTCTTCGATTATCACAGATCAGTGGGAAAATTCTGAACAGTTCTAGGTTGGAAACTAAACAACCTGAAGGAGAGAGAAAGAAATGTTACACAACTACTGTATCAGTGACTTACCTTGAAATACTTCCTTCTCATTCTGGTCATATTCATCAGCATGACCCCGGAGTTCACCCCAGTCTTGCCATAGTAAGGATGCCTGGCAAAGCGGTTATACCAGCCTATCCGAGGCTCTTCATGTTCTGGTGCCATGGCAGCAATTTGTGTGGAATTGAATTTCTTTAGCAAAGACCAAATATCATCCACGGGCCGTAAAAACAGGATATCAGTGTCGACATACAATAATGAGTCAACTTCTTTCAGGATTAACTATGAGGAGAGAGATTTGAATCATTAACTAGAATTCTATGCATTTAATATAAAACATAAAAGACATTGATTATGAAAGATACCTAAGACATAAGCTAACTTATATTTTTAAACAGTATTTTTTCCTAAACCTGTCATTTCTTACAACAGTGTAAATACTATGTTAATCTTTATCTTAATGTTCACAAAAGAAAAAACTATAAAATCACATTAGAAACGACATTATTCAAAGAAAAATAAAATATAAGCAATATCCACAAAGATCAGGGAAGAAATGATTTTCATAATGAAAAGTAACATTAAGAGAACTTATACAATCAAATCCTAATTTCCTGACATAAATACAGAAATAAGCCAATATAAATGAAGATCTAGTGAACATATTAACTTATAATAACTTGTAACATTAATGGCTGGTACTTGTCTATCACTTTGGTCTCAACTAGGGAAGGATGGAGCCAACCCATATCATCTAGCTTCAGCGTGCTGCTCTTCCTGTCACTGTGCTGTCTCCCAAAAAATCAAAGAAAATGTGCACTTAGCAAGGACAAAGACTTGTCTTGGGAAAAAAGACTGGCCAGGTTGTTATTTTATGAGATATGTCAAATCTCTAATATATGCCTTCTCCAGGGACTTTCAAGGGTAATTATCTCTGCCTCTCCCCTGGGCTTTTGAATTTGACTCCTACAAATTTAGATTTACTGCTTATTGCAGTTTATTAGTAGGAGTCAGTGATGAGACTAATCTAAGCCTATTTTAGATTACAGGATGTTTACAGAAAGTACCTATAGCAGACTCAGAAACACCCCATAAAACTAGAGATAAGACATAAGGTTGAATAACAATCACATCAGTAATTTTCTGATTATTTTGATGGAAGGATTTCACATAGTTTACATGAGTTCTTTTCATCAACTTTTTTAAGCATAACAAAATAGCTGTTTTAAGTCAGTATGTTTGAGGGGCATTTGTTACATAACAATAGTAAATATCGAGGACAAGTGGCTTGCTCGGTGGACAGAGCTAGACAGATGAACAGATTATATGTGATATATAACAATAAAATGTTAATTGTAGAATCTGGGTGGAACATGTATGGGTGTGTCCTGTACAATTCTTTCAATTCTCTGCATTTGAAAACATTTACAATAAAGTGTCAGTAAGGAGAAAAGACTAGCAACAGGAGATGTGTTCCTCATATATCACAACATGCTGGATCCAGTGCCAAGCACTTTTATATTTGCTATCCTGTTTATTCTTCTCAGCAGTCACAAAGGTTGGTGCTACTATTGTCTCCATTTACAGATGAGAAAACTGAGACTCAGAGAGGCCAAGGCCCTTTTCTGAAGTAAGCATGTATGAGAGGAGGTAGGACTTCTGGGGCAGGAGTGTGTGATTAAGTCACTCAAGCTCCGGGCCCCCCTCAGCTTCCCTATCTACTGTGCACGTGTGTCTTGGATAGAAAAAGTTAATAAAATCAGCAAACGATCCCTTAATTTTTTCTTTCCCAATACTGGATAGGAAGAAAAATAAGTCTTCATTTATGTCCCCATCTCCCCATTCTTTTTCAGGTGCAAAGAAAAGCTGCCTTGTGATGGGGCTCCAGGGGTGGCGACGGCTGTGGTATTCATGGTCTCCCATCTGTTCCTCCATGCCCTGAAGTCAGGCCAGACCCGCTCCTAGATGGTGAACACTGTGGGCTCAGGGGACTTAAATGAGCTGACCAGTCATCAAGGACAAAGGTTAAGCACAGATTTCACACTCACGCTTCCTGCTGCAGAGGCCAGTGCTCTGGTTTTGCGGGGTTTTTTGTGTTTTTTTAAAGATTTTTATTTATTTATTTATACGAGCACTAGGTATAGTCAGAAGCGCGGGAGGGTGAGAGAATTCACCAGAGCCAGAGCGGGGAACAGAACAGGCAGACTGACGAAATACACTGCTGAGGGGAGCAGAGGGCATGGCAGGAGAGGTCTGCATGCCATGTGGGACCCTCGCTGGTGGCTGGAGATAGAACCAGCGCTGCAGAGGCTGAGGGCAGCTTCGCAGCCCAGCGCTCAACCGCTGCGCCACCAGGGAGGGCCCTTTGCGGTTCTTTTTAACAGGTCTCCAAATTGGATTCTGACTAAACTGAAATGTACAATTAAGTGGCACTTGCTCTCAATGCCTGAGATTTCTGTCGGTACCTTCCAGAATAGCATGTTTCCGGATCAACATTCCTCACCTGACACAACCCTGAAGTGCTTCTGAAGCAGGAAAGCGGAGATGTCCCATCCCCTCTGTGCCTCTAGGGAGGCTGCTGGGAGACCTGGGGGTCCCCACCCTCTCCAGTCAGGAAGAACTCCTAGTCTGTGGAGAAGAGGCAGTGCTTTGTCCGTGCTCGGAAGGGCCACAGCCTGGCAGGAGGGGGGACGACCTCCCTGAGTACTGGCTCCCTGACTAGGTAGCCCAGCAGATTCCCCCAGGCAGACCAGCCTGCATGTGGCCAGCCAAGAGAGGTGGCTGCTTAATGCCTGAGCTTAAGGGGGGAGTTGGGTTTCTTGGCAATGTGCTCCCTACTCAAGTCAGACCCCACCATCTCTCCCCAGCTATTTTAAATAAAGAGAAACTGTAAAAGTTTATTTGCATCAACTTATTTAAAACTGGTAAAAGAAAAAGAAAAATACAGATGTAACAGCAAAGTATGAGAACCACTGGACAGGTTTCAATATTTTATTTATTTAACAACTCCATTACATCATTAAATGATCCAGCAAATTTCATGTCACAACAGCAATAATTATATGTGTTAACAGTGCAGGAAGAAACTGAAAGAAAAATGGCTTAATTTATGCTTCTTTCTCCTGTTACCGCTTTTTTAGTAACATATCTGAGTTTATTTAATGTCATATTGGGTTTAAAGTTTATCTCCCACATCGGAAAATTAGCTCTATGAAAAAAGAAATTGGTCTGGTTCATTCATTTCTCTCTTTCTCTCTTTTTTTAAGGTTATTTCATTTGTTTCTCTGGCCCAGCACTTCAGTACAGATGTTTGGCAGAAAACAGGCACTCAAGTATTAATTAAATGAATGTGACACTGCAGTGAGTCAACATAATTTTTTAAAGAAACCTTATAAAGCCTACACCAGCCTTAGTAAGCCCTTTTGTGGGTTCCTTACAATGGAAGGAAGAGTAAGAGTGATCCCAGCATCTAAATTTTTTTAACCACAGCAAAAAAAATGCTGGTCAGACAGTTTAGCTATCAAAATCTTGTATTAACTCTGACATCTGGATTCAACACACTATAATATTAAAATGCTAATAGTTTTAATCCATTTAATAAGTAACTCGTGTTTATTCCCCCTTATTGATATACTTTCCAAACACTGTGAACATCTTGAATTAATATTTCTAATACTACTAACTATTTCATTTTTTAAGATTTATTTATTTATGCATACAAGACCTAGGGTGTAAGCCAGAGGTGTGGGAGGTGAGAGGATTCACCGGAGACAGAGTGGGGAGCAGAACGGGCAGATGTACTGAAACCCACTGCTGAGGGAAGTAGCATCTGAGACAAGAAAGATCTGCTGTGCCATGTGGGTCAGCTCCCTGGCTGGCCGGGGATTGAACCTCATGCTGTAGTGGCTAGCAACAGCTTGGTAGCATTTTCTTTTTAACCCCTGCGCCACCAGGAAGGCTCCATTATTTTATTTTATTTATTTATTTATTTTTTTAATTTTCTAGAGGCATGTCTTTTTTATTTTTTATTTGTTTGTTTGTTTTTTTTTTTGTTTGGTTTGTACATGCACTGGATACAGTCAGAAGCGCGGGAGGGTGAGAGAATTCACCAGAGCCAGAGCGGGGAGCAGAGCAGGCAGAAGGACCGAAGTACACTGCTGAGGGGAGCAGCGGGCGGCAGGAGAGGTCTGCGCGCCATGTGGGACCCTCCTCTGGTGGCCGGGGAGCAGCCGGGGATCGAACCGCTGTGCCGCAGAGGTCGCCGGCAGCTTCGCAACCCAGCGCTCAACCGCTGCGCCACCGGGGAGGCCCGGCTCCATTATTTTAAACATTATAGTGGTCCTAACAATTACTGTGAATTTTAAAATTGTGGGTGCAATCAAGTCAAAATGTTTTTGAATATTTTTATATGAAAAGAAATCAGGGTTTATCACCAGATACTATCACTAAGAACAGCCACGTTGAATAAATGGTTCCCACCCCCCACACACCTTAAATTTTGTTTCTCTTTTAAAAAACGTCAGTTAAGGACCTCCCTGGTGGCATAAGGGTTAAAGTCTCAGTGCTATCAAGCTACTGCCAGCCACTGGGGCCTGAGTTTGATCCCCAGCCAGGGAGCTGACCCACATAGCGCAGCAGACCTCTTTTATCTGCCTGCTGCTCCCCTCAGCAGTGTGTTTCAGTCAATCTGCCTGTTCTGCTCCCCACCGTCTCTGGTGAATCCTCTCACCTCCCACACCTCTGGCCTATATCCCAGTTCTTATATGCATAAATAAATCTTTAAAAAATAAAAAAAGTCAGTTAGAAAAGGTTGACTGACTTGGTTTAAAACATCGATAGTTAATGGTGCTATCTGTCCCTCCCCCAAATTATAGACGTAGCCTACAACTTGAGGGTATGCCTGTTTCTGAGCTCTGCTGGAAACAGTCCTAGCTCCCCTAAGATCCCCAAACCTCAATACCCTCTTAGAAGTAAAAGTTCTTAGAGCAACTGAATAAATTAAAATGTAAGAAATGCCCTCACTTTCTTACTCTTCACATTGCACTTTTCAAAACTAAAGATTCGTGGCAGCCTGGCAGCAGCCCCATTTTCCCACCAGCACGTGCTCACACATCTCTGTGGCACCTTTAATCACAGGATGTACTTTGTGCTTCTAGACCTACTGTCACGGCACACTTAATACAATATAGTGTGAACATAAACCCAAAAATGTGCAACCGCTTTACTGCAATGGTCTGGAAACAAACCAGCATCTCCAAAGTATGCCCATAATACTGCCACAGAAATTACATTTTTCATCTTTCACAGATGCTTTTATCATAGCTTTTACTTGTTCCATGAGAAATTTTTTTCTAATATTCAACAGGAAAATCATACATGTTGCATATGTCTATTTATTTAACTGAATTCATATGTAACTCTTCACTACTTCACCTGTGTAAAAGCATGGCACAAGTTAAAAAGGAAAAAACAAACCAAAAAAACCCCTGAGGAATAAAACTTACCGGCAAGAACAATCTCTGGGAAGCACATGGTTTAAAGAGTTTTTTCCATTCTGCTGCATTCTGACTTGGAAAAGTTATTGGGTATAAGGAATAATTAAATGTTTGTAGGAATGACCAGCTGTCGAGCTAAAAATAAAATTAAAAAAGTTAAGATTTGTTTCACTTCCAATTCTTTCTATAAAATCACCTATTATGCAACAAAATTAAATTTAAAAAGTGCACACTTTATTTTGTACAAAGTTACATTCTTCTTTCCCACCATTTGCTTTCACTCAAAATCTTAAAATCACAGTAACATGCCATTAAAGTGCCACCATCAAGATCTGAGGCACAATGAGAGTTGTAAGGTGTCGATCAGAAAGTTGAAAGGCCATACAAGTTGTTCATCTCCCTCAACGGTACATAATGTTTAATGCTTTCAATCCCTGAACAAATCAAACTCGGCAAATTTAGCAATAATTATTACAATTTATAATAAAAAAAGTTAGTCAGACCAATATGACTGTTTAAAAATATCTGTCCATTCATGTGGTCTTAATAAACATAGATATCCCTGTTAATAAAACATTCTGAGAAAACATCCAATTCATCACAAAAAGCAAAACAGATCCAGTCTATAATGTATACTGTTTATTCTTTAGTATCCTAAATGCATTTCAAGACACTGAATTGTTTAAGATCAGTTTTATTACTGATTTTGCTTCAATAGAACTGATTTTTTTAATTGAAATAAAGCTGCATTTTAACATTATTCAATATAATTGTTGATTCAACTTTCCTAATGAGCATCACAATCTATAGGGGAAAAGACAGGAACTAAGTTTCTATAACAAGCTGAAGTTCTCTTTTTGAATTATGACTGTGTTCACGTAATTTTTAAAAACATTAATGCCTTCCAACATAATTTAAAGGAAGTCTTTCCTTCTAACACTATTGCTTTGATTCTCTATTAGTTCAAAACACTATTATTTTATTTTCCCTGCATAACTTACAAATCACTTAAAGGTACCTTCAATATCAACTTCAAAATGAAATCATAGGCATTTTTAATTTAATATTCTAATACTTTATATCTTTTTCTAGTAAAAGCACAGTCCATACAATATTTGATATTTTTTGTATTATATTTATCATCATCTTTTTTTAAATTTAAATTTTATTTTTTATATTCCCCATACAATTACAACCCCCTTATTTTGACCCCACGCCTTCCTTTCCCCGCCCCCCATCCGCCATAGAGTGTCTCTGGTTCATAGTTGTTTGCTGATTTTGATATTTTCTTTCTTATAGTTATTCGTTTTCCTGGTCTCTTATTTAAGTTTTCTAGATTCCTGCTATGAGTAAGACCATCCGGTATTTTTCTTTTTCTTTCTGGCTTATTTCGCTGAGCATGATCCCTTCCAGCTCCATCCATGTTGCTGCAAACTGCATGTGTTTATCTGTTTTGAATCAATATTTGATATTCTTTCATCAAAAGCAAAACCAAGTATTTTCAGAGCTGGTTATAATAAGCAAAGAAAAACTAAGTTTAAAAATATAGTATCTTTACACAAGCAGTAAGTCAGATTTGAACACAACAAGCAGACTACATCTAAGATGAAGCAATAAATTCAATTTATTTTTTAGTAATCTTTTCAAAGATTTCCACAGTTAGTAGCAATCTACTAGTAGCAATCACAGTTAGTTGTCATTCTCTGAACTACTAGGATAAACGATACTAATTTTTTCAGTTAATATTTCAGAAAATCTGATAAGAAATCAAGATCACAAAAGCACATATCAAAAATAGATACTAAAACGTTTTAAAATAGTAAAGTTTTATGCCTATTGGAATCAAAGATTTTGGTTAAAAAAATGAAAAGATTTAAAGTCACAAATAGTATTTTTTTACTTAATATGCAAAAATAAACTAATTTAACTTGAAAAAACATCAAATATATTTTTTTACATAAATTTCCACTGAATAGTTATCTTTTTTAAAATAGTTTTTTTTTAATTTTTTATTTATTTATACAAGCACTGGGTACAGTCAGAAGCGCAGGAAGGTGAGAGAATTCACCAGAGCCAGAGCAGGGAGCAGAAGAGACAGACTGCTGAAATACACTGTTGAGGGGAGCAGTGGGAGCAGCAGGAGAGGTCTACCGTGCCATGTGGGACCCTCGCCAGTGACTGGGGATCAAACAGGCGCTGCAGAGGCTGTGGGCAGCTTCGCAGCCCAGTGCTCAACTGCTGCGCCACCAGGGGAGGCCCTGAATAGTTATCTTGCAGGATAAAGCATTCTATGCTGGAAGTCTCTCAGAATACTTTAAATATTGCATGCCATTCCCTTCTTGCCTGTAGTTTCTACTTAAAAATCTGTGAGCCATCTAATTGTTATTCCCTTACAACTAATGCTTCTCTTGATGCCTTTAGTAGTCTATCCTTGTCAATGACTTGTAACAGTTTATTAAAATAATCTTAAGAGTGCATCAGTCTACTATAATTTTGTTTGGAATTTTTTGGGTCTCTTATATCAAGACATCTGCTTTATTTCCAAGATTGAAATAGTTCTCAGCAATATTTCTTATTTATTTATTTATTTATATTTATTTATTTATTTCTACAAGCACTGGGTACAGTCAGAAGCACAGGGGAGTGAGAGAATTCACCAGAGCCAGAGCAGGGAACAGAACAGGCAGAAGGACCGAAGTACACTGCTGAGGGGAGCAGCGGGAGGCAGGAGAGGTCTGCATGCCATGTGGGACCCTCGCCGGTGGCCGGGGATTGAACCGGCACTGCAGAGGCTGTGGGCAGCTTTGCAACCCAGCACTCAACCGCTGCACCAACGGGGAAGCCCAGCAATAACTTCTTTAAATAAATTTTCTGTGCATTTCCTCTTTTCTCCCTGGGTCCCCCATGATACAGATGTTATTTCTCTTTAAGAGCTCTTACACTGCTTTCTTTTTTTTGTTTTGTTTTGTTCTTCTTTTCTCTTGGCTGTTCTGTCTGTATGTTCTCTGCCACTCTGCTGTGCTTTCAAATTAATTCTCTCCATTATTTGCCTTAGTTTACTGTTGAGGTACTCGATTATATTTAATTCAGTTATAGCATTTTTTGAACTAGTTCTAGCTGTGGCAGTCTAATATTTTCTCAATCTGTGTTGTGTTCCTGTTTTATATCATCCAGGGTTTTTTTAATTCAGCAGGCACGGTTATCACTATTCCCTTAAACTCCTCTCCAGGTATATTCCAGAGTTCTGCTGGAGACTTCTCTTGGGATGTTTTTGCTCCATAATTTATATGTTCTTTTACATCTTCATACTTAGTTTTTAACGAGTTGTAATAACGGGTTTTCTTAACAAACTGGCTTTATACCAATCCTGCAAGAAGCTGGGTGTAATCCTAATTTTTTACCTCTGATGATTAGGTGCCTAATTATTTCACAGACCTATGCCACTGCACCTGTTCAGATGGTTGGGGCACTGATAGGAAGGAACCACGGCAATAGAGCACAGAAAATCACTTTCAGTGAGCATCAATAGTTCAAGTTTCCCAGACCTCCCTGGTGGAACAGGGATTAAAGTCTCAGAACTATCAAGATATCACCAGCCACTGCGGCATGAGTTTGATCCCTGGCCAGGAAGCTGACCCACATAGGGAGGAAGACCTCTCATGTCTTGCCCACTGCTCCCCTCAGCAGTGTATTTCAGTGGATCTGTCTGTTCTGTTCCCTACTCTGTTTCTGGTGAATTCTCTCATGCCCCACAACTCTGATCTACACTCCTGTTCTTGTATGTATGCATAAATAAAAATGAATCTTTAAAAAAAATTACCATTTTAAAAAAACAAATAAAAACAAACAATTCCCTTCGCTCAAAAGAAAATTAAAACTGAGGCCTCCCTGGTGGTACAAGTTCAGACACAACCTATGACACTATCGACAGCAACTGTAGCACAAGTTCAATCCCTGGCCAGGGAGCTACCCACATGGCACAGCAGACCTCTCCTGACTCGTCCGCTGCTCCCCTCAGCAGTGTATTTCGTTCGGTCAATCTGCCTGTTCTGTTCCCCACTCTGTCTCTGGTGAATCCTCTCACCCCCCGCACTCTGGCCTATACCCCAGTTCTTGTATGCATAAGTAAATCTTTTAAAAAAAAGAGAGAGCGAGAGAGAATTAAAACTATTGTATACACTCTCACTGAGGCTCTCCCAAGTTATGGATGGGCAAAAACTTAAATCACAGGACTTCTCAATCACAACATTCTGGAAATATAGGCAGTAAAACAAAACCTCCATATTTGGCAAAGGATTTCAATGAGCCTACTCCTTCCTGTACAGGAACTCCTCTTATACCCTAAACCTGGGTTCACAGATGAACTTGTATGGGAGAACACTCCTTATTCTGTGAGAGCAGCCCTACAGAATAAATATTTTTGTTCAGCAAAGGATTAAAATGCATTAAATATTCCACTAAATATACTGTTAAATATTCAACTCAAAAATCTTGACTATGTCTCAAATACTTACTATGCCTTTAAAACTATCATGTAGCTGATCTTCAGCAAAAATATGGAACTGAAGAGGTTTGATGCTGAATATGATGGCTGATTTCAACATGGTTATAGTTTCTTCCAGTCTTTCTCCACAGGCAACTACGGCGAGGTGCATTCTCTTAACAGGCTGCCTTTTCAGACTATACCTAATAAAAAAGAAAACAGCATTTTCCAACAGTTTCAACATATAGTATGTTTACAACATGCTATTTGGAGCATGTTCAAAAACTGAAGTTCAAAACTTCTATTTAAAAAGCAAAGAAATGTCAAATGAGAAAGCATTACAACATTACAATCATATTTCTACACTCTCAACTACTCCTTCTTAGCCAATGTTCCATACTTAGCATCAACATAAAACAAAAATGACTATTTTTTCAGTTCTCCCAAGAACAGTACATTAGAGTTTAATTCTCTTACGAACCTCCTTCTTCTCTCTCCTCCCCCTCACCTCTCAAAGTTGAGAAAGGGTACATCACTGATTTGAGGATCTTCCATTCAATTTTTTAATAATTATTATTTTTCTAAGAATTATTTATTTATTTTATGCAAGAACTGGGGTACAAGTCAGAAGCGTGGGAAGGTGAGAGAATTCACCAGAGCCAGAGCGGGGAGCAGAACAGGCGGACAGAGTGAAGGCACTGCTGAGGGGAGCAGCGGGCGAGGCAGGAGAGGTCTGCTGCACCATGTGGGGTTCTCCCTGGCCGGCGGGGAATCGAACCGGCGCTGCAGAGGCTGCGGACAGCTTCGTAGTGCGGCACTCAACCACTGAGCTACCAGGGAAACCCCAGTTTTTTAAACTTTTTTATTTAGAAAAAATCTCATTGACACATAAAAGAGAATATAGCAATAAATCCTTATGTAGCCAACCTCCATATGCAGTTATCCATTCAAAGGTATTCATACTTCATCTAAAATTCCTTCCCCTCATCACCTTTCACAAACAGATCAATAACTTTTTTTTTAAAGATTTATTTATGCATACAAGAGCTGGGGTAAAGGCCAGAGGTGCAGGTGGGTGAGAGGATTCACCAGAGACAGAGTGGGGAACAGAACAGGCAGACTGACTGGAATACACTGCTGAGGGGAGCAGTGGGCGAGACAGGAGAGGTCCGCACTCGTGCTGCAGTGGCTGCGGACAGTCCCATAGGCTGCGTCTCAACCCCTTGCACCACCAGTGAGGCCTGCAGATGAGTAACTTTGAAGCAAACTCAGACATGCATTCATTCATAAATATTTCAGTTAGTATATCCAATCTTAAACAATGCTGGTAAGAAAAACTGTTCTCGTAATTTTTCTTCACTGACATATTCAGTTCCACTCACCAACTAATTAGTGAGAGGTCAAAATTTCTGAGATGGTCTAAAACATAATAATCAAACACTTATGTCTTTCTGGAGGGAAAAATTCCCTAAACTCAATTTATTAGTCTGGGATATGTTAGACTATTTCTAACACAGAGTAGCAGCGAACAGCAGCAGGCCTAGGAAAACTTAGAAACCATTGTGCCTTAACACTCTCAACTAACACAATCCACTAGCATAAAGAGGACAGAATTAGGTATGACTACATTACTATTAAACAAAATAACATTGTAATATGAAAATCTCATTTATAATTATGGCATAAAATCATTTTTTTGGTGTTAAGAGCCAAAGGAATGTAATGGAAGACCATATAAAACAAAACTAACAACATATTAAAGAACTATAAAGTACAAAACTCTGAACTAGAAATATTCAAATTTGACTTTAACTCAATTTTTGCTACAGAGATCTTTTCTGTGAAATGTGTAAGAATTAGAAGTTACACTCTTTAATGATAACAGTTGTAGTTATACATTACTGAGATCTGTAGTAGAGGCAATGGGTGATTAATCATTTTTCTCATATTTATAAACTAAAACTACTTTGGAATTGTGAATATACATATGTCCATGTGTTAGAGTGGACGCAGAACTATTTTCTGTGAAAAATTTTGGTTTTCTTCATGGGGAGTCCCTCAACTGACTAACATATCAGAAAACAGAAAATCATACTAAACAATATTAATTACACACAACTGCCTAAATAAAATATATGTGCATTTTAAAATCTTCACATTTTCACATTAAACACATGGAACTACTTACAGGATGACAAGCTAAGTCTGCCCGCACATCATGGCCATGTGGTCTACACATTCCTTCCTATTAACAAGCTTGTTTTGCTAAGGGCCTGGAGATATTTAAGACAGCAGTTGGAAATGATGTGTTTCTGCTCTGCCTGGGTTCATGAAGCCCAAAAACGGACTAATTTCTCGAACTATGGGACATTTCCCATGCACACAACTGCTGGTACTGTTCGGCAGCAAGGCAGAGCAGCTCTTCGGCAGACATCTGACTCCTGTAAAACACACAGAGGTCGCTTCTTTCATGGATCCCTTTCCTAGGAAACTGCAAAGTGAACACCTCAATATCATGACAGCCCACCCTTTTTAATTCGAGAAAATGGGCCAAGTATTCAAAGTGAGGGTCTTTGAAAAAATACAGCAGAAAGAAAAAAACTTGTTTTCATGAAAAAACTTGTTTTCATGAAAAAACTTCCCCAAATAATTCATAGTTAAATATTATTATACCACTTTATTTGTTAATGGCATTAAGTTGGAGAAGTTACTTACACAGTGGTATCCTTGCAAAAAGCATATTTACTGTTCTATTATAGAAGCTGTGGTGGTATTTCATTCTACACCCAGGTATTAAGATTATCATTAAGATATAATATTAGGTACGGTAATACTGTGATATACAAGAAACCTATATTTGGCCATTTAGATAATCAACAGATAATTCGTTTTCATCCACAGGCCCTGGCACACAGTTCCCAAAAGCCTTGCAATTTCCTAAGTGTAGTGAGAGATAAAGGGAACTCTTGAGTTAATGAAGGTGACTCTTAGAGAGACACCCACAGGTGAAGTCAGGTTACCAGGAGGACCAGCCCATGAGATTAGAGGATGGGAACTTCCAGTTCCACCTCCTCACCCTTCCAGAGGAAAGAGGGGCTGGAGGTACAGGTCACTGAGTCAATCAATTATGCCTGTAATGAAGGCGCCATAGAAACTCAAAAGAATGGGCTTTAGAAGAGGCTCCTGGCTGGTAAACATGCACATTTTGGGGAGAATGGCACAGCTGGAGAGGGCACAGATGCTCCAGGTCTTTTTCCCACATCTTGCCCTCCACAAGTCTTGAAACTGACTGAGGATTCTTATTCATTTTCCAGTAAATGTGGTATTCTAGGAAATTAATCAAAACCGAGAAGGGTGTTCTGTAAACCTCTGATTTACAGCAAGCCGGACAGGAGCAGATGATAATCTGCACTAGCAATTGGCACTTGGAGTCTGAGGAGGCGATGGGGGAAACTCTGATTCAGGTTGGCTACTCAGAAGCTACATAGCAGCATGGACTTGCAATAGGTGTCAGAAGTGGAGGGCGATCCTGGGGGGCTGACTGTGGGACTGTGGAACCTAACGCCATCTCTGGCATCAGTGTCAGAACTGAGCTGAATTTGCCGACATCAGCTAGTGTCCAAGGATCACTCATTAGTAGGGGGAGATCTAGCTACTCTATTGCTGCAACTAGTCTCAGGACACCAACATACACCGCCTTTGGTACTTAATCTACTTTTATGAATGACTTAAGGTAGCAAGCAAACTGCACAATTCTGCACATCACAATACACCTGTCCAAGCTTCTTTCATTGGTTACCACAAAGTCTATCCTTTCCCCCATGACCTGCTGGGCCATTTCTTTCATTTATCTGGTATTAGCATAAACATGGGTCTTATAAAGCTCTATTCTTTTCCACTGACAGCAGCCAGAAACAGCAGCTCATCTCCAAGCTCCATCTATACTCATTTTCTGTTGAGTCCCTAAGTTAATAAAACTTTACCCACATCACAGATATTAACTTTACCCACATCCCCTATAAAACAAGGGGACATGAACCCAGCTCATCTCAATGCAATGGAAATCACCATACACAAGCAAATGTCAAGGCAATCGAGACACAATTTTACACACTCTAAATAATCTTTTCTTTTCAGTAAATGCTTCCAGATCCCACTTTTCATGACATAAAGGCCCTCACTGAAGTTCCAAGATTTGAGGCTCTGATTGCATAACTGATTGCAATAAATAAGTCACCGAAACAGACTTATTATTGTAACACTTCTGCTACAAAAGAATCTCAATAATTATTCTATTTTTTAGGCAACATGAAAGATTTCCAGTGTTTGTCTAGCCTATTACTAATGTTCTCTCTATAAAAGAAAACAATGTGCAATGATATCTAAACTAGAAATTAGCATTATAATGACATACACAGTCAAATTACACAAAGTGAATTTCTAATGATAATCTCCCCAAACTAAAAGATATCAGGAACTGGTCCTTAAACATCTACACAAGCCACTCCTCCTTCAGTATGAAAGGAGGTGGGTGCTGAGGGGAGCTATCATGGCCCCAGTGATGACACAAGCCCCATATGCAGGTCTTTGGCCACCAGTCTGCAACCTTATGTTCCTGGGGGAAGTCCATGTCTCCCAGGGGCTGCAGCATCCTATAGGTCTGCTGTGGCTGCGTCAATAAAGGCGGCATATACAGATTTCTACAGCTCTATGACTCTACCAAAGATTGTGAGAAAATGAAAAAGGCTAGTATCTTTAGAGTGCAAAATGATTTTGGAAAGTAAGTAATTTCTCTGGGTTAAGAAAACACGTTCACACTCTGACTCTGGTGAATCCTCTCACCCTCTCGTGCTTCTGGCCTGTGCCCCAGTTCTTGTATAAATAAATCAATCTTTAAAAAAAAAAAAAAGAAAACATGTTCAGGGGCCTCCCTGGTGACACAGGGGTTAAAGACAGCACTATCACCAGCCACTGGAGCACAAGTTCGATCCCTGGCAGGCCAGGGAGCAACCCACATGGCTCAGCAGTCCTTTCCTGTCTCACCCACTGCTCCCCTCAGCAGCGTATTTCAGCAAATGTGCCTGTTCTGCTCCCCACTCTGTCTCTGGCGAATCCTCTCCCCCCACCCTGCACCTCTGGCCTATACCCCACTTCTTGTATGCATAAATTAAAAAAATCTTAAAAAAAAAAAAAAAGAGGGCCT